AAAAATTAACGTTAATTGATACTGCGGCTTATAATCCGGTGCGGCTTTTGGTCGTGAAAATACGGTATATGTGCAAGAGGAAGCTTTACCTTTTACTTTAAGGTAGATCTAAAATATGCATAAGAAGAAACCAAGTATATAATTATGCATATTTCCACCAACCAAAGAAGTGCCAAATAAAAAATGTAAGTTAAAATATAAAATCTGTATTATTTTCAGAGATGCTTCTTGTCTTTAAATTGTATGGACAGGGGTGGTGGTGATATATACTTTCTTTCTCCCAAAACAATGAGATATTGTTTGATTTAACAGAGTAAAATATGACAGTAAATATCAAATCCTTATAGCAACAAGTAGTCTAGCTTAAACATGAAAAAAAATTAACAATAATATTTTGAAAATTGTAGATTAAAATAGAATATCCAACATACCTCCTTGGATTCCTTTTACTGTTGCAGTTTTCCCAGCATTATCAAGACCCACCATGATCAATGTCACCTTCCTTTGAAATACCAACAAAAATAAGTTAAAATTCTGTCCTTAAAAAGCACATAATATTTTACAACAAATAAATATACTTTCACTATACCCAAAACCAAATGGCAAAGATTCAAGGAAGATTTTATTTATTTTACAAAGTGCAGATAAAATAAGTGGTCTGTAACAAATTCTAAAACACATGGAAAAATATAGGAAGGGGAAGGGAGCAACAGAGGAAGACTTAACTCTTACTTCAGTTATACACTATGTAGAACATGGTACTAAAACCATCACGGGAATAATTTAATATATTGAGATACATATTGAAGAACATTTGTGGAATATTTCTTATTGTGAAGCAAGAGAAACCATCTTGCCTCTGGATAAAAATTTGATACACTTCAATGAGCACAGAATCTCTAAATGTTCAAAGCAGACAAATTAAGAAAAAATGGGTAGAATGTGAAGAAAGAGGAAAAACAGAAGAACACAGCAGAGGGATGGAAGGAGGAAGAGAAGACAAGTGAAATATTTTGGAACTAAGAAGAGTATTTATTAGAAGAAGAAATTTTAAAAGGATTCTCTCATGAACTAAGATTCTCATTGTTTGCAGCCAAAGGCTGAGTAGACAGAAATTAGAAAATTGAGAGATAAACATATAATAAAAGATCTAAAATAGTTAAAATGAAATAAAATCAGATTATGAATGAAAAGCTTTACTGGTGTTACCCAAGTTTATATTTTCTAATGTTGAAAAATAAAAAAAAACTTACCTTAAAAATTGATTAAATAAAAAAATGGCATGTCAAAAAAGGAAAGAACTCATTGATATTGAGACATATCTTAGTTCGCTTATCTCAAATGTCATGATGTTCATTTGATCTTGGCAAAGCATATTATGTGTATTAACCATTGTAGTTTATAAACTATATTTTATGGATCAGCATGCAGTATAAATCCAGAGCCACCATAAATGAAATGGATAACAGAAGCCAAGAAAGAAAGGAAAATTTAAAGATAACAAGTTCAGTACTCAACATACTAAACTTAACACAGCACTGAACTATTTGAAGTAGAAATATCAAGAATGATATTTTTATATATGCATAAAACACAGTATAGCCTTTAGAAATTAAGGGATAAAAGTAATCCATAATGTTAGGATAATTAGATCTTAAGCTTTTTCATTTTTTTCCTTGGGATTATGAATTTTTAAAATGTATCTATACAGGTAGACAAATGAGCTTAAAATTTATATTGCTAAGTGATAAATTTGTTAAGTGACTTTTGCCCCATTTCATGACTTTTCTTGCCACGTTTGTTAAGGGAATCACTGCACTTGTTAAATTAGACACAAGATTGTAAAATGAATCTAGTTTCCTCATTGGCTTTGCTTGTTAGAAGTTTGCAAAAGGTGATCACGCGACCTGGGTACTCTGCAAATGTTATAAATGTGAGTCAGTTGTCAAACTACCAAATGTAAATCACATGACCATGGGGATGCTGCAATAATTGTAAGTGTGAAAAATAGTCATAAGTAACTTTTTTCAGGGCGGTTCTAACTTTGAACAGTCACTAAGTGAACTGTTATAAGTCGAGGAATAGCTGTATATAAGTAATTAGGTTATGTGCTGTGTGGGATGTTGGGTAAGTAACTTGAACTGATCAAGCTGCAAGACTAAATACTGATAATGAAAAAATGATTTTTTTAAAAAATCCATGGTAAAAATCAAGATATAAATTTATTATACATCATTTCCTATAATTAATATTATAATCTTTTTGCTCAATCCATAAACATGGATGTTACAGTTCTTGATTTTTACTGCATAGTTTTATAACTCAAGCTTGCACATTATTATTTTATCATTAAAAATGTATTAATCGCTTCTTGGAATATGTGGCAAGAAAATAATACACAATTATGCAAAAAACAGAATACAGAATTTAAACAATAATTTACACATAGCCAAATATCCAAAGATAATTTAAATTGGCTATAAGCAATTCCTACTGAATTCAGTAAGCCTTATTCCCAATTAATCATAATAAGATTAGAGTTCAAAAAATTATTTTATGCTATTATAACAACTCTTATGCACCAGGAACAACATTTTTACTTCCTGATTCTATCATTCCAAGACAAGACAGTGATTGTATGCAAAGAACAAATTTGAAATAAATTTTGAGTTGCTCAAAATTTTTAAAAAAGAGACTTAGTTTCAAACAAAGTACCCATGATGATTTCTAAATAGTTTAGTTGCTCCATTCTCAATATAGCATAAGGATATGTGGAAAAAAAACATGTTTCCTTTTCTGCCTGTACAAATTTTTATTTCAGCAGAAAGCAGAAAAGGGAAAGGTTTTTTTACATATCCCTATGCTACTGAGAAGGGATCAACTAGTTTGAAACTAAGTTTCCTTTTTGAATAGATGATACAAAAAACAAAAAAAATCTGCTGCTGAAAATTATTGATTGCCTATTTTTGACATTACAATCAGACACTCTGGGTCTCATATAAACAAAAAATGATTTATTAAACCTTACGTTAGCATAGGAATCAAAGGAGTCAACTACAAACTATGGGACTAGCAATCTGCTTCTAAACAATGATGTAGAATTCTTCTAACTGTCTAGATGGCTAATCTTTTTGTCATCATGGGCCAAAAGAAATGCAATGCAACCCCCACTCTCCCCCACCACGCATGGATGTGCAAGATCCCCATGTGTGCCCCGCTCCCCACCCAAACGCATTACCCCCCATGACCCCCATCATGGGTCTAGATCCACAAACTTTAGCAAAATCAAAAAAGCTTGGATAACAGAAACTTCAGTAAAATACCTTTAAGGATAGTTGTGGAGTAATAAAGTATCATTGAAACTGCAAAATAAATGTCTCATCCTAATGTATAGTAAATTCAATAAGATGAAATCACTTTAAATGATTTGAAATGCTTATTAGCCATCTAGGCTAAATTGCCTTTTTATAGGATGAGTTACCAACAGACCCCGCTGCTATCTCTTAACTGTTTATGGCTATTTTCCTTTCCATTACTTTTTCAGTCTTTTCAAAAAAAATTCACATAAGCCTAGTTCTCTATAAATAGGGCCAATGTATAACTGAAGTATGCCTAATGTAAGGTCTTTGCAGCATGGCCAACAGAATAGGCAAAAAGCACAAAAAGAAATGTCATAATCTTAAAATGGACAATATACTTTTGTTTTGTTTCCCTCTGATCTTAATAGGAACTTCCACCATTCCCATCCCCCCCCTGTATCAATAACATTCCATGCATCCAACTACACTTTTAAAAATATATAGGACATAATTAATTTAAATTAGAGAAAATCTTCCTTATAATATTTGAGATAATATTTTGCCTTGGTCTGTTCTATGTGAAAATGAATTAATTACAGGTCTATATATCTTCATACCTGCTGTACCATCGATAATCTTAAAAGTTACTAAAAACTGAGTATTTTAAAGCCTGGTCATTTACCTGAGGGGTTCTCGCCACCGTTTTAGCCAGCTGCAGCAATTGGCCATCAGACTGTACATTCCTTTCCAACAGCCATTCAGAGCACCAAATAAACTGCAGGCATGGTATATTGACTAATTCCAGAATATTCAATCCAGGATTGAAGAGATCAGTTTGAATATTGCCTTATTACCAAAACAAAGAAAGGGGAGAGTAAGAATACACAATAAGTTCTTGGTAACTTTATTCTTCCAAACCAATCTCATTACTTCTATATCATATCAAGCACTATCCTACAATGAGTCTTTATTTTGTGGAGCCACATTTATTTAAAATCTTATATTTACAGTCAGAGTGCAGCACAGGCACCTTTTAAGCAAGATAAGCAATTTTTAGATAAGCATGCATATGAAACAATATAGCCATAGTTTTCTACCCCATTCTTTAACCAAGGAGTTGACTGAATATCCAATCAAAAATTGGATTTGTAAAAGCTACATTCAGCAAAAACACAATATTCCCAGAATTCCCAGAACGTAAAATATTTTTACAAAAAAATGTTAATACTAAACAAATCAAAGGAAAAGTGCAACTAATACAGGTTGAATAAATTAAAATAGAATAAAAAATGAAAGCTTTCTTTATTGTCAAATGGATAGAAAAGTGGGCCATAAATTCAAAATATTTTTTTTAAAAGTTTACTGTATTCAAAGTAGGCAATAAAGAATTGACAGTGATTTAAACACAAAAAGTATAACACTTCCTAGAATTTTAATACTACAGTCACACACCTGAGCAAGCACTGGTTTGTTACACTAGACAACCACTATCAGAAAGACTGATAACAAGCAGAATCACTTTACAATCTCCTTAATATAAATACATAATAAAGTAGGTGATTCTGTAATAAATGAATTTAAAAAAGGAGAGGCGCATCATAAAATTGTTAATAGTGTTATTTCTAAAAAGAAATGAAAGCTTTATGCATCCAATTGTGACATGTATTATTTGTAAGACATGAATGAAATTAGGTATAAGATCTGCTGTAGGCTGATTTGTAGAATGTATCCAAAACTTCTAATGGAGCATATGTAGGTGGTTTTAAAAAATGCAGTTAAAGATGTAGTTAACAGCACTGGAAGTAGAACCAGTAATTATAAAAGCAATAGATTTATTTATTTATGATTAAGGAACATGGCAAAGTCAGAGAGCTTCATGGATCAAGGATGGCTTTTAAATCATAAAGTTCATTCTGCAGTTTATTGTCAGATTGAGCCACCTAATTTTTCAATCCTACTTCATACATGCATGAGTGTTTCATGACACCTTATGTACAACATCAAATATAAGCCAATACAACTGTAATTAAAAAAAACACTGTAATGCCTTACAGACTGAATGTGTATAACTCCCCAAAAGTGTATTTTGTGAGCTGGCTATACAAAACTTACAAATAATTGTAAGCTCTGGTCCTAAATTAGAAAGTTACTGCTTCTGCTTTTATATTCTACGATGTGCTGTACTCTCCAATAAAGCAGCATAAATATTAATTGCATTTCATAATCCATTTTAAATTCCTGTGTCATAAGCCCGAGGCATAAGCGTGTTCACGCGCGAGAGACGCACGGACGGGGACAGTTATTCAACGCCACCAAATCTTTGGATTCGCGAATGACTGCCCTACCAGAGCAAATAACAGCGGTGCCCAGCAGCCCGGTACTGAACGAATCGGACCGAATTATGAGAACTGCCCTGTTACAGTGATTTATTAGGCTGGCCAGAGGGGAGAAAAAAAGGAATGCGCCAAGTCTTCGGCCTCTAACAAGCAGCCCAGGCGCCTCCCTCGCCCCCACGTTAAATTAGATTCACAAAGCTCTCCCGCCCCCGAGGGCCTCCTGACCGTCTTCTCGTCTCCCCGTCGCTGAGAAATCCTATAGTAGCCATAGATTCTCGGGGCGGCCGTTCTACACAGTCACGTGACCGCGCCGTTTTCGCAGGTTTATCTATACGTCTTCACGTGATGCTCCCGGAGTATGCTTATTGGCTAGTCTCCGATAGCAACCGTACGCAGGAAGGACGCGTAACTACGTCGGTCTCCCTTAGCTACAAGAGGGGGAGTGAGGGGGAGAGAGAGAGAGAAGACCGCAAATGTGGAAAGAAAACAGCAAATGAAGGATTCCTTGACTGATGGCACCCACCAATCACGGGTCCCGCAAGGAGGCGGGATTTATTTACCAGAGTGACGGACGGGTGCCTGGAATTTTTGAATTGGATTGCTGCTTTATTCCCTATGCGCGTGCGCTCCTGAAAAGTGACCGAGGAAGGGGGGAAAAATCAGGAGATTTTACAAAGCTGTCTGTAGCCAGATTTAATATAATCTCATTCTGAAATAATGATCGCCAAATAAAATAATAATAATTTGGTAGTGTATTGCATGATCACAGATCTGGAGAAGTTTAACATTTCCAATGTTTCCTGCTTAAGGAGAACAGACCGAGTAGGAGCTACAGGACTATTGATCCTTGACCACCTACCAAAGGCCAAGCTCCTTGTAATTCAATAAGACTTCAATCACTTATTCTTGACCCAGTACTAATAAGAGTTCCAGGAGAGCACTCTGCTACTTCTACTCTGAAGGAGCCTCACCTAGTAACATTTTTGTTTTTATTATTTTTAATGTTTCTGAGGTCTTAACTTTAACCCATGTGGGATTACAAAAAGAACAGATTCTGAAGTGGTTCAGGTGCCATTTGAAGAACTGTTCTGCTTCTGTTTTAAGCACCTTAAATTTTTGATTGAGGAAAGATTTATTTTGAATCAGACAACAAAAATAACTTTAGCTACCCTAGCAGTTAGGCATGCTTTATTCCCCTCTACAAAAAAAGCTATCTTGATAAGCTATAATTTACTATATTAGAAATGATAAATGTTCCAGAAATGTATGAATTTTACTTGTTTTGCTTTCTTCATTTATTTTAGCTATCATAACTTGAAATGTATCCCACCACCAATATCTAGCTTATTTAGGAGTTATGACTACTGCATAATTTTATATGCACTATATTTGATTATCTTACATTTAATTAGAATGTCGTAATTCACAATGGAATTATTTACAATCATTTGCATACTAGCCTTCATAGTAAAGAAGGATTTGGAATGTATAAAATATTCACCAGATGTATGTATGTGTATTTTGGTAAAGTAAACCTTTTATATTTATCCCTTTTTCACAACTGTTGAAAGAAATGTCGTTCTGGGTTCGGCTCCAAGTGGGGAAAAAGACACTGGAGACATGGAGGCTGCTTGGAAAGATGGTTTTATTGTTGGACAGGGCCACATGGCTTGAGCCCTGAACAGAAAAAGTGATCACATTCTTCAATGTTGGTGGAGAAGAAGAGATGGGTTGAAGGAGGGGCTTGCTAGGCTCTTTATACCCTGCTTAGTCCCACCTCTCTGTTTCCTGTTCCTGTGTAAGAAATGTATTCTGATTGGTTGTCAGACTCCCATGGGGCCATGCAGGGGCTACTCTCTAGGCTGTGTTTTGAATCCAGGTATGGATGAGTTCTCAGATGCCATGTGATCAGTTGAGTAATGTTCCAACATTACTTCCCCCTGCAGCTGCAGTGGAGAAGTCTTTATTATGTAAAAGGGACTAGCCGGCCTTCTCAATGGTCCAGTGGGGATGGGCAGGAAGCTACAGGCAACTATTCTGTCTTTTAAAACTCTTTCTTTCTTTTCACATCCAGAGAAATATTCTGGCTTTTCAATATTTCCTAGGAATTTCATTTTTCTGGGAGAGGGCTGGATGATAACTTCCCACACAACCTTTACTCCCTTTTTGTTTTGTTTACTAAGTTGCCTTTATTGAGATCAGAAAAGCTTGTGTATATATTGTGCCCTTAAGTTTGAATTAATGGATTTTCCTGTATGGACTGAAGTTTTTTGTTGCTGTTGTTAAATGGCCTTTGTAAAAACAATTATCAGACAAATATTTCCTATTACAGAAAGTATTTTTTTTAATTGTGAATATACCTGGGCACTTATCTTAGCAGGGTTACAAAACTGATTGTCCTTGCTTTTTTCCAGGACAATTTTTCCCAGCTTCCTAGTGTAACCAAAGCCCTGGAACTCCCTGTTTAGCTTTCCGTTTCGGATGTGGCTCAGTGGCTAAGATGCTGAGCTTGTCGATCAGAGAGGTCAGCAGTTTGGCAGTTCGAATCCCTAATGCCGAATAATGGAGTGAGCTCCCATTACTTGTCCCAGCTTCTGCCAACCTAGCAGTTCGAAAGCATGTAAAAATGCAAATAGAAAAAATAGGAACCACCTTTGGTGGGAAGGTAACAGCGTTCCGTGCACCTTTGGTGTTCAGTCATGCAGGCCACATGACCATGGAGACGTCTTTGGACAGCGCTGGCTCTTCAGCTTTGAAATGTAGATGAGCACCACCCCCAGAGATGAGCACCGCCCCTGTAGAGTCGGAACGACTAGCACATATGTGCCAGGGAAACCTTTACCTTTATCAGCCAAGCTACTACTCTTGCTGAGGCTTTCTGTCAGTTGCTTAGAACCAAGTATACACTTTGTTCCAGTTTTACTGCCGATGAATCTAGTCAGTTAACAGCCCGGGATCAAATTCACACCAGATCAGAGTGAATGGAATTTAAGAAAAGTTGGACTTAAAGTAGGGAATGTAAAGACTCCAGGCTGATAATTTTAGACTGTGCTCCCTGGGTCTGCCTGCCCTTTTTCTATACTTTCTACAATGATCAAAGTCTTAAAGAGGCAAAATGATTCCAATCCATGAAAGTGTATGTCAATAAACTGGTTGCAGTTCAAATCTGAACATCAGGGCTACAAAAAAGGAGCTCCATGCAGTCTATCAAAAATTCTTTTGAGACCTCCCCTCCCAAAATGGCTGCCTTAAGAATTGCAGATACTTCACTGACTATTTGGCCACAAAAAATTGTGGGCATCTTCACCATTGGGTCATGATTTCTCTAGCGTTTGGTCCACGTAGGACTGCAGCATTGTAATACAAGTTTATGTGTCTGTTTAGATTTTTTTTAGGTCAATAGGATTCATTAACAGATGTCACTTAAGATGCCATGCAAACTTCTTTCTTGTTCATCAATAAGCTATGTCTAGTAAGAATTCAATTGTAATATGTAATTAAAGCCAAGATTGAACTACTTAGATAACAATTCATTTAAAGTCACATTTAGCAATTCACTGATGTCTTTGGAAGATAAGTCTTCAAAAAGCCTTGTTACTTAAAATTGCAACATTATGTACTGTAAACAGTGGACATCACCACACCTTCTCCAAAAAATTATATGCATTTGTCTATTCAGCAAAATCAATTGTTTGGAGATTACATAAAGCAGAGCTGCAGCATTAGCCAGAGAGGCTGGGATCTCGCGTGCTTAAAACTCTGGTGGCTTCGTTTCTAGCTCGCTATGCAAATACAGCCAAAGGGCAGCTTTGATTTTGGAAGGAGGAATGAGTTGAAGGTGAACTGGCCATTTCTGTGTTGTTGGCAATGAGCCTTGAGAAGAACGCAACCAAAAAGGCAATTTCGCCTCCTCTCTGCCTCTTTCCCTCGCACGCGCGCATGGAAGGAACACACACACACAGAGGGTCCTTTTGAGCAGTGTTTTTCAACCTTTTTTGTGCAAAGGCACACTTTTTTCATGAAAAAAATCACGAGGCACACCACCATTAGAAAATGTTAAAAAAAATTAACTCTGTGCCTATATTGACTATATATAAAGTAATTCTCCCACGGCACACCTTACACTATGTCACGGCACACTAGTGTGCCACGGCACAGTGGTTGAAAAACACTGCTTTTGAGCAAACGGTTAGCGAGACCAGCCCCGCCGGGAGGTTCAGCAGCTTCTGGGCCAGTGCCATAATGTCCTCCCCTCGGCCTTCCTGTTTACCCACCACTTGAAATGGACAGGACCGCTTCCAGGAACTGTCTTGCCTTCGAATGAGGCCATCCCCCAACCAGTCTCCTCTCCCTCCCGCTCCGCAGGAGGACTAGAACCGGGCAGAACACTGTCCTCTCTTCCCGGCATCGTGCGAACAACCAAACAGCAACTCAACTCAGAGCAGATGCCAGCATCCGCTTCTTAGCTCCGAAAGAAGATATACCGATCCAGTTAGCCTACCAACTCTCAGCTTCTCAGAATGAGACTCCTCGACACTGTTTGCCTGCTTATTTACTGCCTCTTTATTACAACGATCGCGATCTCCCTCTCGGAGGCAAGGACGTGTAAGTAAAATTGGTCCGCTTTCCATCTTTCGATAGAGTTTCAGTGGGGCTTGCGTTTTTTTGTTTTTTGTTTTTTTTTTAGTTAATTTGGACTTGTTTTGTGCTTTCTTTCTTCAAGCTGTCTGTTGGAAGAGATTGTAAAGAATAGTAACGGGAAGAATTCTATACCGACATACTGTATAGTCTTTTCTGTGAAAATAATTATCTGCCCTTCGAATTCCTAGGGATGCAACCTGATTACTTTCACGTTCACTCAATGAAATAAATATCACGGAGTTTAATGGGACGTTGTTCTAGTTTATGGCACCGCAGGCTTAGGTGGATCTGGTTCCTTGTTGCCAGGATTGTCCCGAGAGATTCTGATGTGCCCTTAAACTCTGCAGGATCCGAAATAGCTTTTTTGGTTTTTGCTAAGCAAATATCTTTTCCATTTCCATAAGCAACCATATTTGTAATGAGGCCAAACTATAGGAGAATGAGTAATTATCATTGCAATGAGAGAGAGAGAGAAAAAAAAATTCTAACCCCAGCAAAAAAAGGGGGGGAGGCATTTGGGGTATTGTGAAATCATATTAAAAATAAAAAGTATTAAACAAACTACAATTAGTTCTGCGATGAAAAGTTTAAACAAGTATTTTATGTAGAGGATGACAATTGTGGTTTTTTTAAAATTAAGATTACTGTCTTCCCACAAATACATTTAAATAATACATGCAGTCTGTTTAGAGATAAAGGACCTTTTGTCATTTTCATCTACAGTAAATCTTCAGTAATCTTCAGTAACTGAAAACATGTTTCTCACAACATTGTCTTCAATACATGCCAATCCTACACAAACTTAAGCCATGCTTAGCTTTTCCAGTGTCTGATGGTAATGGTGTGTTCCTTATTCTCATACAATTCAAGGCAGCCTCTAAATGTAAAAAAAAAAAAAAGTTAGGTTTATTACTCATTACCCTGGGGGGGGGGGAATCAGGTGACTGTGTGGACTTGAAACAGAGGCAGAAGAGTTAGGGGTAGCAGATTTCATGCCTAAATAGTTTTCTGCTGTCCCTTGGAGAGTTGGATGACAGAAAGGATCAACATCTTAATTTTAGGTTGAATTAGCAGATGAAAGCAGATTCATTAGCAGCCCATGGTTTCCTTCATTAAGTGTAATATAGTTTTGATTGTTTTCCCCTTCCCTATTTCGTTCCATAACAATTTCACAAATAAATTACAGAGAAAAAAAGAGAAATCCATAACTAAGTATGTTCTAGTAATCCAAAAACTTTCATGCTTAGGTACAATTTCAACAAACTGTAGGTATAGAACATATAGACTTTTACAGATTTAACTAGGACACCGAGATACTTCATCCTATTATTTACCAAAATTCTCAGAATCTTATGGTATCAAAAACAACAAATCTAACGTCCGCTGAAGTCCTTCAGAACTGCTTCAGGCTTGGCATGTGGGCCGTGACATATCCTGTTGTCAGATTTTCAAGTAGCCAAAACAAAACCGTAAAAGCAGACTAAGTATAAGGATGATGGAGATTGCAGCATCAGTTAGTGTCAAATTGCAGCAAAAGCTAGAATGATCTATTGTTGGTAATTGTAGAACAAATTAGTTAAAAAGCCAAGAAAATTATATATAATATAAATATAATATAAATATAATATACACATCATGTAAATATATGGAAGAATAACAGGAAACTGTCTCTAATGCTGTATGCTGGTCTGACCATGAATATGTTATTGTAAATAACTCTTTAGTAGTTAATTATAAACTATATAGATCATGGGCCAAATCCTATCACTACTTTGATCTCACCCACTGTTTTAACTAAGTGAGGGCTGCATTCAAAGTATTGCTCACATCATGTTCTGGGATGTTAACTATCAATTGAAACTTTGAAATGCACTTTAATTTCCAATCTGTGGATAATTTTGGATCCATTATACAACCACGGTTTAATACAGAATGTTCATGTGAATAGTCTTTAGTTACAGACTCTTGAGATTACCAAATTGTCAACACAGCTGAATGTAAGAAAATGTTCAAGAGAAAACTTTGTCCCCCTTTGTTAATATTGATTGGTAGGTCCAAAGGTGTTGCAGTTATCTTTATTGCATAAGTCAAATAATATCCTAGGAATGAAGATCAACATCAAACAGAAGTCAAATCAATCAGATCTTGTTTATTATAATCTAATTAGCCTGCTGAGTGTTCTAAATAAGCTTTAAGCTAGATATCTATGTCTAGCCTAATTGGATAGATGAAAACAATATAGGTTTAAGGAAAATGGGATGGCTTTGGATTAAATTCATTTTATAAAATTTTATTGAAATATATACTATAATTGTGATTATTTTCCTGATTACCAGTGCCATTCCATGAAATAAAATTGAGTGAACATCTATAGGTAAGCTATATTACCATACAGGTAGTCCTCAGGTGTCAATGGCAATTAGGACCTGAATTCCTAAGTGATGTAATCATAAATCATAATGTTATTTGACCACATCACTTAGCATGGGAATCCCAGCAGTCTTGGTTGGAGAACTGTGTTGTTAGCAGAAGAGATGGGAGTCCCAGGCAGGAGCATGGGCACTTGTACAAGTGTTGTGAGATGTGGGATAGTGCTGTGGGTAGAAACTCCATACAGAAGATAGGCCACTGGGGCAGATTGGTTAATGATAGCTGCAGTCAGTTCAGTGGGCATCGCAGAAAGTCACTATGCAGTCTACACTATGGACAAGCTGTCTGGAGCTACTGGCAGGTATGACTATGGAATATGAGTGGAAGGGCTGCTATGGAACACAAGATTTATGGGAGTGACTTGCAACTTCCCCATTGATTTTGCTTGTGGGAAGCCAGCAAGAAATTTTCAAATGGCAATCACGTGACTGGAGGAAGTGCTGCAATAGTTAGAACTTCAAGCTCATAAATACCATTCATTCAGCTTGTCATAACTATGTAAGGTCATTGTAATTTGAGGACTACTTGTATATAACTTATAACTTGTATATAACTTGTAACTTGTATATAACTTATAACTAAATCATCAGGGCTATTATCAGACACAACCTCAATATAAAAAGACATCAAACAAGGGTATATTTGGGGCAACTTGTTTCATTATTATATTAATTCATTGGTTGAAAATCTTACTAAACTAAATTTGTATCTTCCTTTGTGGGTGTACAGATTACTTCTGTCACCAGCATTGTGATATTTTTAGTTGACAGGCAGGTTTTGTGGCATTACCACAAAATGGCTGGTAAAAGTTAATTTGCTTGGATGCATGCTAAAACAGTAGACCCTTATGGATATAGCTTATTTTATCTTTTCACAAATTATGATGATTTTTAAAGCCATTCAATGATCTTGGGAGTCAGGTGGCATTCAAATGTCATCAATAATTGAATACAATAATTGAAGCTGAATCCCATGCTTAGTAGCATTTAGACACAAGCATTGAGCTACTGTTATCATGTTCACTATATAAGTTGTATTCTCTTATCTAATTATAAGGTTATGAAAGCACTCATTGGAAAATGAGTGGTCTCATAATGTAGGGAAACATTGAAGGCAAAAGGGGTAGGGGACAGCAGAGGACGAGATGTTTGGATGATGTCATTGACGCAATGAACACAAATTTGAGCATGGGATACAGTGGTGAATAGGGAGGCCTAGAGTGATCAGGTCCATGGGATTGTGAAGAGTCAGACACAACTGAGCAACTGAACAATAGTAAATAGTTGCTACCCATATGGAGAATGTGCGATATGACATAGAAATTTATATTTGAGATAAAGTAGAAATCTATAATACTACAAAAGTCGAAACGGTAATACTACGGTTGTTAAATATGTAGATAACTTCTGTATCCTTGCTTACTTCTAATAAAATAAAAAGAGAAAATTGTACATTGTTCATTTCTAAAGAATATTTTTACATCAAGAATAAAAAGGAGATTGTACTTCACAAAACTCATATGTTGTAATACTTGTATTAAGCTTTAAGGTGCTACTTTTTAGATGCACAGATATTCCCCCCCCGCCCTCCCTGAGTAACATATGCTGATAAAATTTCTCCTTGAAACATTTAAAAGCTATGGCGTGTTCTCAAGATCTGGATTTCGTAACGTTAAAGCCTCTTGAGGGATTATGTATGCATTGATTCAAATTCTTTCTCTGAACTTTAGAATCAAAAGGATTTTCTGCTCTGCTGTTTACTATGATAGGCAAAGGAACTCACCAAAGGAGAATTGCTGAAATTCTTATTTTCTTTCTGCCAGTTTTAGCACTTTCAGAAGAAAAGAGGTCTATTTTTTTGTAACAACGAAGCAACAATAAGGTTGCCTAGGTTTTACTGATTTGAAAAATGCACATTCTGCATCTAAATTACTTCTTTATTTGAAACAATATTTTTTTAAAAAAATCTTAATGCCTGTAGGCAACAGAGTTATATAGCAAATAATTATTTCTATTAGAAACAATTTCTAATAGAATAAAGCTGCAAACTTCTGCATAATTACTAGCAAGTCATACTTGTGTATGGTATAATAGAACACATACAATGGAAAGTGGTCACATGTGCCTGGTATGTGGTGAGTTGACTTGTCTAACTCCGGAGCATTACAGTTGATATCTTTGAGTGTCACCCTGTTGGATTTGTTCCAATATTTAAGCTTTTGGAGTCTCTGAATTTTATTTGTTTATTATTTTTATGCAAATTTATACACATGTTCCTTATAAAATGAACTGTTGTCATTTTCCTTTTTTAATTAGGGTTTATTTGGTATAATTAGGGTTTATGTTTCTTAATATAAAATAGAAATAAAATAAAGATAATGGGGAGAAAAGGAGGGCAGACGAAATGAAGTGAGCAAAAAAAGGAAAAGAAAGAAACAAAGCAGTGATTTCTAATTTCTTTTGGTACAGTAAGATACATGATAGGGTTATCTGTTGTGACTCAGCAGAAGTCTTCTGTGAGTCTTTTCGGGAAGC